TCTAAGCAGAATAAGAAGAGACAGACAGACTATTCGAGTGCAGATGGAAGTGTGAAAGGAAGAAAATTTAATAATGCAAAAAAGTTGCTTACGAAAAATTGCGCTTAAATGCTAAATGTGCTTTAAAGTGACTACAGAAATTGCAGCAACAAAAGCAACAACAATAATAAGCAGTTACTTACTATATACTGCTATTTAGCGGCAAAGTTCATAAAAAGTAGCAAAATGTGTACACGCAAGTAAGGTTGTAAAACTACTAAGTTGCTTATGAAGGAAAAAGAAGAAAGAAGAAAAATAGAGAAAGAACAAAATAAATAATAATTTTTAATATCTTTTATACCCTTCATGTGTGATGGCTAAATTTTTTTATGTTCTCTATATTTTTGCAAGCGGATATTGACATAAGACATTTCCTTTTAGTTATTGGCATGCAATTAACTGGTTTGAGCTAGAATATTCGTTAGAAAATCAAATTTTTAAAAGATCGCTTGTATGACTTTGCTCCTAACTGTTTAATTATGTCAGTTATTCGTTGAAATACAAATTTTGAATTTTTTTTATATGACAGCTATACCTAATATGCGGTTGATTTGTACGCTGTTCGCTGAAAACAAACTATACGTGGTTAGTAAGCAGCATAGGAAGTTTCACCTTTCTGGCAATATTAATCAAGGCGTTTTTTAATTGTAATGTTATTTTTTAAACAAAATTTGTACGACAGCCACGCTCTATAGTCAACCGATTTCAGTGCTTTTCACTCACGTTAGACTATGTATGATTAGTAAACACCATTTGCAATTTCAGCTTTCTAGCAACCTTAATAAAGGCGTATTTAACATAAATGCTGTTTTTGAAAAAAAATTCGTATGACAACTATCAGTAAATGTTAGCCGATTTTGATTATTTTAGCCGTCCATATTTTACTAATGATAAGCAAACTACGTACCAAATTTTTCATATCCAGACGCCTTTCTGAGCGAGTTATAAGCTAAAGTATCATTTTCGAAAACCCAAAAAAAAAAAAAATTTTTTTTGAAACGGCCTTTGAGTGGTATATATGAAAAATTAGCCGCAGAGTTCCATTATTTAAACTGTTTTGCCGTAATTTTATTGCTGGTCAGCACACACAGCAACGAAAACAACAAACGAAAACAACAAGCGAAAACACACTTTTGGGTCTATCTACACGCTCATACGCCTGGCGGTATGTCATAAACGTTGCTGAATGCTGCATACACTTGGTTCATTCGTCTGTCGCGACATACCATGACGGCGTGTTAAATTGTTTAATGAACTACAATAATGTTGATAATAATATTTAATATACTTACTTGCCATCCAGCCAGCCACTCTGACGCACACTCCAACACACACACATACCCACACACATACAAGCTAATAATGCTCTCCACACGCTCGTGCTATTATGACGCCAAAGGCGATGACTATGTTAATTCACTAGCGGCAGCGACATTGGTCTCTGATGGTGTGCATAATATTTATGTATATTATTTTATTGTTGTTGTTATTCTTTTACACTCATATACCATATTAATAAAGGGACTTTATTTAAGACTCTTGAATTTTATTGTCTAAGTTCGTCTAATGTCTATTGCCACTATTGACTTTGTCTTGGGTCCAGCCGTCTTGAGCGCTGTGTCTGTGGGTGGCGCTCATAATATTTGCAAAAAATAAAAAATAAATAAAAATGTACAAAAGAAAGAAATAAAAAACGAGTCTGCGTATTATCGATTTTTGCTTGTCATCACTTTTGTATTTAATAGCTTCTCTTGTTATTTATTATACATTTTTTTTTTAATGGAACTGCCTACTTTTCATTGAAAAATAAAAATTAATTGCTGATGGCTTTTAGAAAAAAAGTTACGCGGTTCTGTAAAACACTGTATTATTATTATTCACTATCATTTTTGCCTTCTGAAATATCAGAAAAAATGGAAGCAAGCAGGGAAATGACAAAAAAGTTAATAATTTTAGTTTTTAATATATTTTATTATTATTATTTCTTAAAAGGTGACAACTGTCAGGTAAAAACTTGCCACACCGGTATTTTTCTCAAAAAAAAAAAGTCTAATTAAATATGCTTTATTAAAATTTGGTAGATTACGCTTAAATAATTTCGATTTCAAGAAAAGTGGCAATTCTGTGCGAAAATTTATTTTCTTATTCGCCAGACATATTCAATTTTTCTCATTTTAATATAATAAGAGAAAAAATATATGCATTATATATTTATAAAAGTAAATCCAAATATTAAGTGGCACTTGTGGAAGCCAAATGGCAACTCTAACAGTTTAAAAGTGAAATAAGTACAAATATTACATAAGTATATATGAATAATTTTTTAATAATTTCTTTCTCAAAACAGGTGGCAACACCTTAATCCCGAATTTTGTTTAAAATTTACAAAACCTCTTGCTAGATAAGTAATATTATTGAAATAGGTGGCAGCCTTTCCAAAACTTTTCATATAATATTTCACTTTATTTTCCTCTCTTCTTCTTTTATTTTCTTTTATATTATTTTATATAATATTTGTCTTTATTTATATTTTTTTATTTCATTTTATTTTATTTTATTTTATTTCATTTTATTTTATTTTTTTTATTTTTTTTATTTTATTTTATTTTATTTTATTTTATTTTATTTTATTTTGCTCTAATTTACTTTTTTTATATCATGTTTCGAACTTTAATTCTATATTTGATTTTATTGTATTTAATTTTTTTCTCTTTATTTTTATTAATTTCTAAACATTGATTTTTTATTTGGTTGTATTGTATTTTTTTTTAATTTTCTTTATTTCTTTTATTTTAATTTGCCTTATTTTATTTTATAATTCCAGTTTATTATTATTTTTTTATTTTATTTTGTTTTAATTTTTTTTATTTTATCTTATTTCCTTTAATTTTACTTAAATTATTGTAATTTAATTTAACTTTCTTTATTTTATTTGCAATAATTTTTTTGTTTGTTTTAATTTTATTTAATTTTACTTTTTCATGTTAAATAAAAAAATCATACTTTTTTCCGACTCCTTAAAAACTCCAAGAGCAAAAATCTAATCTTTCGCTTTTGAAACTCATCTTGTCATTTTATCTGCCAAACACAGCTAGGAGTACGTACAAACATATTCTATATGTTCTATTGCTAATAACAACAAAGCAACAAAATTCAAACTAAGTTTGTACAAATTAGCATATTTCGTATTAGAAATTCCATAAAGTTTTAGTCATGTTGCCATAAATAGTAAAAAAAGAAAAAAAAGGAAAATCAAAATTCTGCATAAAACAAAGTCAAAACTGTATATACATGCGTATGCGAGTGTGCAAGTAAATGAACATAACAAGTTTTGGAAACACGTTAAAATGCAAATAACTTTCAAAGACATACATATCTGGCTTAAACAGAAACAAAGAGACTCTATGATGCGCATCGCAAGAAACACATGAAGAACAAGTCGACGACGCGAGATGTCGTTAGGAAGTTGCTGCGGGTTAGTGGCTGTGCCTAGGCAAACAATCACAAATACATACATATATATTTTTTGAGTAATAGAAAAAGTTGAAACGACTGCAAATGTTGCAATGACAAGGCTGCTGGCAGTAAAATAATGATGATGATGAAAAGTGTTGAAAAAGTTTAATGAATGTTCTAGACAAGAAATGTAGATGTGTATTTTAGCTAAGGTTCCCAATTGTCGTAATAATATCGAATGTAGCTATATTTCTTTTAACCGAAAATTATAAAATTCTAAATATAATATTTTCCAAAATTTAATTGTAGTATATTTTTTAATTTATTGGGATTTTGTTATTATTTTCCTAAAATACTTTTTTCCACATATAAATTACCGCTCTTTTTTCTTTTTCTTAGCAACAAATTAAATTTTTGTTAGCTCATAAATACCCTCATGGCAACTATTTGCGTTTACACTTTTGTTTTCTCATTATTTATTTACCTTTATTTCCTTTTAAAAGCTTAAGACTCAATAAACAAATGTATTTATGTGTGTGCAAACAAAGCTTATAAAATAATAACGTTAATCGTTTACTATTTCCAATGTCGACATGAATATAAATAATAATATCGAAAATTTAATTGTCTGTAATAACCAAATACCATAAATTGTTACATACAAAGCTTTTAAGTTTGAGCGGATAAGAAGATGAAGCAAGATTGTAAGTTTTTGCAAATTTACTAAAACCCAATTCCTCACAGCATGAGTAGGCGGATAGCAATTAATCAATTAAAAATCATAATTAATTATTGTTTGTTTGGAAAAGTTTAGATTTATTCCGAAAGGATATTAAATTGAAGATTGTAAAAAACCGGATATTTGATAAATAAAGAACTGAAAAGTTGTTTATCTGAAGAAAAAAACAATTAGAATATTAATAAAATTTTACTCTGCTTATCTATTTGCGGTAAAAAAAAACAATAAAAATAAATAAAACGTAACTATAGTTTTTCTTTAAAACCAATAAGAATCGCAGCGCTCCGTGACACACATAACCTGCGACTGCTTTGTTGAAGTTTTGAATACCACTGAGATTGACACGCGCGCAATTCCTTCCACTTCAGTGAGCGCCATCTAAAAAAACACATGAATATGTATGTGTGTATATATGCATACAATTGAAAACAAATTACCTAAAAAATCTCCTCTTCGCTCCGCTCCACGATATAAATTTACTCGATTTATTTATATCTTAGTTTCCGTCTACCTCAGTATCTTGCTGTTGTATTCTACTGATTTTAATTAACTGCGTCTTGATTGCCTAAAAATATACTGTACGCAAATCTACATACATATAAATATTTCTTAACTACTCATTTTGTATATAGCAACATTCGTTTCTGCTTCTATTAGCTTTATTATATAAATTTCCAATTAAAATGAACAAATAAAATTTTAGTTCATTTTCGTAGAACTTGAATTTAATTTAATTTTTTCAATTTTCTTTCTTATTTATTTCCAGATAGAGCAAGAAGTGCTTGTATTCTTCAAATTTGTAGCTGTGCGCAAATATTTCCCAAAACAATTAGGTAAGTGAAGATTATCGCTTAAAAGAAAGATCAATTAAATTAATAAAGATAGTGGTATATTTTACAAATATTTTACAAATAGAAAAAACAAAAAAAGTGGCTAATGAAAATTGTGTAGAAATAAAATTAAAAAAAAAGAAAAAAAAATGATAAAAAAAATAAAAATTAATAAAAAATAAATAAACTTAAAGTGAAACAAACTAAAATAAAATTAAATTATGAAATTAATATAAAATCAAATGATATTAAAAAAAAATTGAGCAAAAAAATTAAATAAAAATAAAATAAAATGATGTAAATTAAAATAAAATAAAATAAAATAAAATAAAAAAATAAAATAAAATAAAATAAAATAAAATAAAATAAAATAAAATAAAATAAAATAAAATAAAATAAAATAAAATAAAATAAAATAAAATAAAATAAATTTAAATTAAATTAAATGAAGTAAAATGAAAAGAGATAGAAAATAAATAAATGAATTAAAATAAAATGAAATAAAATTAAAATATATTAAGTTGATTAAGTGAAATTAATCCAAAATAAGAAAAATAAAATAAAATAAAGAAAAATTTGCTAAAATCAAGTGTATTAAGCAAAGAAAAACTAAAATTAAATATGGCTACAAAATAAAGATTAATCCAAATAAAAGTACGTATTAAAAAAGATAACACTTAACTTAATACAAATTGAGGCCAGCAGGACCTTCCTAATGCATTAATATCTAATTACGAGTTTAAGTGTAGCTATAAATGGACAAAAAGGAAGAAGGTGTGCTTGGTTATTACGAAGGAATGAAATAAATTAGATGGAGAATCAAATATTAAACACGCACGCAGTAACATTTTGAATATTAATATTCATATGGAAGAACACAATATTATAGTAAAAACAGATAAAAAGCTGCACCTACACCAAAGGCACGGCATTTTAGGTGACTTTTAGTAAAATAATGGAGGAGAAAAATCAATAAACATCAAAGTTTTGTTCAGCCTTTAATTAGCAGAAACTATAAAGAGAACATGAGCCCTTACGCAACGATAATCGCTTGTGAGGTGGTTAAGTCTAAACCCGTGTTACGTGATATAAAAATATTCCAAGCGACTGCCGGACTGTTGGCCTATTTAATTTGTAAAACTCGCATGAATTTGAACATTCCGAAAATCTGTTAAAATGTAAGATTGAAAGGAAACCAAAGTTTAGTTAAGAAGAAGTAGTGTCTCTATAAATTCTTCCATTTTTCATATACATATATGTATATTTTTGCATTTTAGATTTACAAATCTCCTTCCATTCGCACACTTCACACTAAAATTAATTGCTGTACGTAACAAAATGATTTGGTTGCAATCACCAATGCATAATCAATAATTTATGACCGTTGACCGTGACATAAGCGGCACCAACAACAATAACACTGGCAAAACATAGAGAAAAACCACAAGCAAATGAGAAGGATTAAAGTTAAAATAGTAAGCTGACTTGCATAACATTTTATGACAGAATACTCTAATCCGTTAGGGTGGTCCAAATATTATTTTAACAAAATTCTTTAAATTTTTTTTTAAAGTTTTGGTGGAATTTTTAGTAAGCAATATTTGTTTTGAAATTTGGAACATTTTTAACCAATATGTTAACAAAATTTTTTTTATACAATTTTTTGGTAGAAACTTCTCAAATTTTAAAACATTTTCCATTCAATTTGTGCGCGTTCAAATATTCAAATTTTTTTTAAATACACAATTTTCTTGAATATTTTTTAAACCTAATATTTTATGATTATTATTATTTGCTTTATATGTACTTACATTCTTTTGAAATTGCTAATGAGCATAAACGAAATTTCATCCTGGAAATATATTTCACATGCTTTTAATATTTAACATTATCTATAGATCCTTTAAAATAATTTTCCGCTATTAGATATCAATTATTATGAAAAATTATTTAATTCTTCTTATTTTTTTGAAAGAAGTTGTTACCCTTCTTAATAATATTTTAAAAAACCTTTTTCCATCTGTTTTTGGCCTAGCCTAATGTAGCTATGCTATTTGGTTTTGAAAAAGTACAAATAACAAAAAAAATTATATTCAGCATGTTGCAAGTGGCAAGGTGTTACAGCAGGATTTGTCTGTATAATTATAAAAGTTACCGCTACAAACATAGCTTTGACGATTCATGTCCAGGTTACCCTGGTAATGGGCGCGTGCTTGTTATAACCAACAAGCAAATGTGAAAATGTACCTTGTCTACCTGATACCCAGCAAACCTTAATTTTTTTGCTGGTTGAGAAATCCAAAGTTGACATTTACCGTCATTATCTAACTACTTTTTAAGCTTTTAGTTTGGAAAGTCTTTTTAAATTGATAACTCTACATTTTTCTTAAGTTGCCAGGCATAATTTTTGAATTATAACAATCCTTTTGTCTAATGATACTGGTTTTCTTTAGTTGAGAAGGTATTGAGATGCTGTTGAGATGCTGTTGAGAAGTCATTGAGATGTTATTGAGAATCTGTGGAGACTTACATAATTCTCAAATTGAACTCAAATCTCATATAAGGTTGCATACAAACATTGTTAGTTAGCCGGCATTGCGTATTTTTCAATATTTATTGTATACAAATAAAGATATTTACATTTATATACATATGTATGCATATGCACTTGAATTTATTTATTGTTTGCTAGCAAAGATTTTTATTTATACGGTAGCTTAATTGGCAATCAGTGTTGGCAATATTTGATTTATAGGCACTGCGCTCATCAGCTTGGCTAGTTCGTAGCTTGACGAAGCAACGCTTGGGTAAAAGACAAACTAAACTAAAGAACTGTCAGTGATTTAAATAAAATACAACAGATTAAAGCTGATGGTGCGAAAGGACTAAGCTGTAGATTTTACCTTGAAGGGGAAAATAAGCGGAATATTTTTTTGCAAATATGACTACCTATTCATATAAGTATATAGCTATGTGTAGGCACAGGAGGCAAAATAAGCTAACAAAGTTCTTCTTATAAATATTTTTATTTAAGTTTCCTTATTTGTTGTATATTTTATTTAATTTTTTTTTATTTTAATTCTTTTCATTTAATTTTACTTTATTTTAATTAATATAATTTAGCTTAATTTACCATATTTTTGTTTTATTTTAATTTTTATTTACTTTCTTTTTCATCCATTTTTTAGTTTATTTCATTTTTAACTTTGCATTATTTTCAATTCAATTCATTCAATTTTCAATTTTTTTATTCTATTTTTTTTTTTTAATATTTTTGTTAATTTTTTATTTTGTTTTTTTTTTTGATTTCTATTCATTCTATTTTATTTTTTTTGTTTTATTTGATTTTTATTTATTTTAATTTTATTTTTTTTTTATTTGATTTTTATTTAATTTTTTTATTTGATTTTTATTTAAATTATTTTATTTTTTTTCGTTTATTAAATATTATTTTATTTAATTTATGATTTACTATATTTTTTATTTTAATTTATTCAATTTTATTTTGTATGATTTTATTTTATTTTATTTTATTTTATTTTATTTTATTTTATTACTTTTTTGCATTTTTTTCTTTTATTTATGTATTTTATTTTATATTAAATTTTTATATTATTTATATTATTTTTTTTTAATTTTATTTTATATGCATTTATTTTATTATATTATATATTTTATTTATTTTTAATTTTTTTTTTTTTAATATTATCTTATATTTCCCAGCAGCCATAAAATCAGGTTGCCATAAACGCACATAGCTAACTATGCAGGCCACTTTATTACCATTAATATTCTCTAGGGTTAAATTGTATTGTTAATTGTTGTCTGTACGGTATGAGATTTATTTCTCCGCGGATTTTTGCGTACTAACTGCATATGTATGTATGTAGATGAGCTGGTTACAAATTTTACGTGAATGTCATTGCATATAGCGGCGGCCGGAAAAAAGTAGCAAATAACAAGGGAATCGGTATAAATTTTACACATTTGCCTTGCTTTTTATGCAAATTTTTTGTTCTTTGTTTTTACGGATATCATGTGACCAAACAAATATATACATCGATAACGTTCGTCCGGCCGTTCGCTCATACGATTGTCAAATGCAACAATAAATATGAAAATATATACATTTGCCTGTAGTTTGTATTTGTTTGTGTACGTTTATGTATTTTAGCATTTGTGTATTGTATTGCATCTGTTGGTCAGCATGCCAACAAAAACAACAGACCATTGGTTAGCCATGACCGCGAGCCATTCAGCCAGCAGCGGATGACCAAAGTGCGGGGTTGAGTAACAGCGGTAGTCAAACCGTAATGTTTATGTGTGTATGTGTGTATGTATTTATAATGTGTAAGTGGCCCTCAACGGACAATTACAAATCTGTCTCCTACCACGCAAACATACAGGCACTCAAATGTACATACATATGTATTTATGTGTGTATGTATGTATGTGTGAATGTATGAATTTGTATTGTAGAGTCTCTGGCGGTCAACGAGCAAACACTCAGTCAACCGAGTGTGGGCAATGAAGCAGGGAAAGAGTTTGTAGAAGTATGTTTTTCTTTTATATTACAAATTTACATACATATCTGTATGTATGTATAAGTAGGTATTAATACATTAGCAACAAATCACAATCAGAGCAGAAAAACTTACACACGTGTATATGTGTAGCTTGCATTTATGAATGTGACCTACTTTTTATTTAAAAAAAAAAGGGCAAAAATTATTCAAATCAAAATTTTATGATAAAAAAGCAAAAAATAGTGAAAAAATTGCATTGCATTACTATTAATTTATTAAAAATCAACACAAAATTTTCTTATTTGGATTTTTGTAATTTATTTTATGATATTTTATTTTTATCAAAAAAAAAAAAAAAAATAATAATAATAAAGTCATTAAAACCGAAAAATTCATAGTCTAGACATTATCAATAAAATTTCTTATTCCATTGAACATTTTATAATAACACTAATTTCCATAAAAAAAAGTTTTGTA